TGTATATCAATATTTTGATAACCTCCAATGTAAGTTCTGTGTTGTCTCTTTTTCTTGCATCTCTTTCTTGTCTACCTTGATACCAGTAACCTATAAGAAATCTATTGAAAGGTTCGGAGCGGGCCAGGGTCGAGCACCGATGACAGGAGGCCGTAATATATCAAAGAAACTTTTATTTCAGGCACCTGGGTGCAGGTGGGCTGAGTCTGAAAAAGGAATCAGAGACTGAAGGGAGAGGCAGAGTTTTATTAATTATTAATAACTTATTAATTATTTTTATGAACAGCTGCAAGCCGTTCTGCTGACATGAGGGTCCAGTCCGTCCTTGGTTCCTCCCGGCGTCAGATGTCTAGTGGCTACCTAGGCTGAGCCCTGCTCAAGGCTGCAAGCTTTCTGCAAGATATCTGCTGAGCACGAGTTTTCTCTGCCCTGTTTTATTCTCTTTAACCCTCTCACCTATGTAATTTATATTTGAATGACTATTCTCTTTAACCCTCTCATCTATGTAATTTATATTTGAATGACTATAATGATATTTCAGTTCCACTTTTTTATTTGACCCAAAGAAGCACTAATAAGTCTTAAGTATTGCCGGTGTGTTTTAGAAGCCTGAAGCCAGTAAGATGAAACCCAACATGAAGTATTAGAAGCAAGTAACTTGTGTAGGAGGAATGTGAAAAAGAAAACATTGAGCCGTAACCGGTTTGGCTCAGTGGATAGAGCGTTGGCCTGCGGACTCAAGGGTCCCAGGTTCGATTCCGGTCAAGGGCATGTACCTTGGTTGCGGGCACATCCCAGTAGGGGGTGTGCAGGAGGCAGCTGATCCATGTTTCTCTCTCATTGATGTTTCTAACTCTCCATCCCTCTTCCTTCCTCTCTGTAAAAAATCAATAAAATATATGTTAAAAAAAAAAAAAAAAGAAAACATTGAGTAGTTTGGCTAGAGCATCATTAACCTAAGGTGCATTAATTCTCTGGTTTTTTAAAACTTGAATAGTAACAAATTATTTTTGATGTGTTATTTCCATGTTTAGTAGCAAATAAATGTGTATATATAGATCTTATTGAAATTTGAGACATATTTGTGTACTTTTTTAAAAATCTAGCTACTGAAACAAGTTATTAAAAAGAAACTTTACTGCCCTAGCAGGTTTGGCTCAGTGGGTAGAGTGTTGGCCCCCCGGACTGAAGGGTTGCGGGTTTGATTTCAGTCAAGGGCACGTACCTTGGTTGCAGGGATCCTGGCCTGAGTCTCGGGAGGCAACCAATCGATGTGTCTCTCTCACATCGATGTTTCTCTCTGTGTGCCTTTCTCCCTCCCTTTCATTCTCTATTTTTAAAATATCAATGGAGCCCTAACCGGTTTGGCTCACTGGATAGAGCGTCGGTATGGGGACTGAAGAGTCCCAGGTTCGATTCCGGTCAAGGGCATGTACCTTGGTTGTGGGCACATCCCCAGCAGGGGGTGTGTAGGAGGCAGCTGATGGATGCTTCTCTCTCATCGATGTTTCTAACTCTCCATCCCTCTCCTTTCCTCTCTAAAAAATCAAAATATATTTTTTTAAAAATCAATGGAAAAATATCCTCTGGTGAGGATTAATGGGCCGGTGTGATTGAGTGTAGACCCGTGACCCAGGAGGTCACTGTTGGATTCCTAGTCAAGGGACGTGCCCAGTAGGGAGCCTGCAGGAGGCAGCAGATCCATGATTCTATCTCATCATCGATGTTTCTATCTCTCTCTCCCTCCCCTTCCTCTCTGAAATCAATAAAAAAATATTTTTAAAAAACCTTACTAATCAAAGACGTGAGATCAAACTTCCAAAAAGAAACAGAAATTATTTTTGATCTCTATATGATGACATTACTGTGTATATTTAAAACTCTTGTTCTGACATTGTAGCAATTGCTCAAAACGGTAGCACATCCACACCATCATGTCTAGGCGGCTTCTTACTTTTGGGGGAGTTTTTGGTTGCCTTTCTTTTTCCTTTACAACAGGCATCATGCTCATATATACATATATGCAACACCTTCACTATATCATGAACAGCCACGATCTTAACTACAAGCCAACTCTTGTCCCCCCTCTTGGCACCGGCCCCGGCACTGCCTCCCTGCCTGCACTCCTCCACTGGACCCTGGTCGCTCAGGCTCTGCCCCTGTCATGCCCCCTTTTAACTGAGTTCCCACAGGCCCGGGACAACAGCGTCCGGAGGCAATGCCCCTCCCCGGTGCCTCCGTGTTAATCAGAGGCTGCACATGATCCATCCGCTCCCACCTTAAAAAATGCCACCATGCCAGTGTTTCACAGCCGGCTCTGTGGCCTCCGTTTTCGACAGGAGAACACCCGCTGGCCTGAGCTCACACATCGGGCGAGTGGCACAGCCAGACCTTAACTCCGAGCCCCCCATTGTAGCCCGAAATTCACCCCGCCTCTATGGCCCCCTAAGGAAGATGGAAGGTGTCCTCTCACACCCCCTGGGGGTGGGGGCCCGGGACCTGTGTGGGCCTGGCCAACCTAGAGGAATAACTGGTTGGGCACCGCCTGCAGCCCCCAACCCTCCTCCCTTCACTCACCAGCTGGGAAGGGTCTGGGAATCAGGAATCGCTGGGTAGCTGCGAGGACCAAAGGTCAGACAGGGGTTTCCTGCCCACCCCTGGGAACTTCCTCCTTCCCGACACAACTTCTGCCTCCTTGATGAACACCACCCTGGGGTACCCCTCCCCGTTGTCCACCCCCCCACTCCATTACAGTGGCTAATGGGGGGATGGGTCCCCCTGCAGCAGCCCTTACCCGGCTGTGCTCCCCACCAGGCAAGGGACACCAATTCCATCTCCTTGTCCCTTTCCCCTCAGCCCCGTCCCTCCTTCCTGCCACCCTCGACCCCCTGGGGCTAGGGGTTGTGTCCCATCTGTCTCCTCAAGCCTGAGGGCCCTCCCAGCTGGGGCTGGGGCTGATGCCTCTTGGGGGGCGCTGGCTTCACCCAGCACGTGGAGGTTTCCCTGGAACTCCTGGTTCTGGGGTGACAGGCAGGAGGACACACCCAGAACCCTTTGCTCCTTGGTTCCAAATCTCCTGCACGCCCACCTGGGGTCACCCCAAATGAAGCTCAGCTCCCACCCATCGGGCGCCTTCTCCTCACCATCTCACGGGGCCCCGAAACAATGCTTGCAGCAGGAAATGGTAGCAATAATAGCAGCTTCCCCACACAGCCCCGTGACTGGGCATCATGCACACCCACCTCACAGAGGGGAAAGCCGGGGCACAGGCAGGAGAAGCCCCTCCCATGAACCCGCACAGCCAAGCCGGGCTCCCCATGCCTCTAACGTCATTGCTGCTCGTGAGGCGAGGCCGGAGCACTTCTTAAGCACCTGCGTGAGCTGGGATGGGGCGGGATGACAGCTCCCGGAGTTGTCCCTAGCAGATCCCAGGGAAGGATCTGGGGTGTGTATCTAAGGCGTCCCTTGAGATAAACTTTAACCGTGCAGGTGTGGGACATTCAAACAGTTACTAGCGAAGAGGCTGCTCTTACGCAGGCAGGACCAGAGGGGCAGCTTTGGGACCAACAAAGACCAGAGGCTTTAATTTAAACTTTTAAGCGGACGCAAATAAATTCAATTAACTGCCGAAGGAATCACACCACACGAAACATATGCAGTTGCAAATCACACAGCTTTTTTATTATTCACACAAATTCCTGAGCTGCGGGTACAAACTTGGGGATCCCGGTGGTGCTGTCCGCTGGGGTCCGGCAGCTAGGCTGGTCTGGTCAGGATGCAGGGAGGCGGCGTTTCTCACCCGAGAGCTCGGTCGCATCTCCATCCGGGGTTGTTGGCTGTTCTTCTGTCTTCTGGCGGGGAGAGGAGCGTGGAGCTGCGTCGCTTGTCAGACCGTCAAAGGGACGGGCCCTTGTAGCTGTCTTGACAGGCGAGCATCGATAGCTGGCCAGGAGTCCATATTTAAAGCTTGTTCGTACCCGTAGCAGCTCAAGTGGCTCTCAGCGATTTACATTAATCTCAAACAAGGCGAGGGGGCTAAGGAGAGTAGGTGACTCACACAAGTGTTTACTTGACAAGTCACTCTGAGTTGTTTACTGAAGTTCAAATCCTTATCTCTGGGGTACACATGCTTCAAGGCAGTAGGAAATGTGTCTTTTTTTAAAAAAATATATTTTATTGATTTTTTTACAGAGAGGAAGGGAGAGAGATAGAGAGTTAGAAACATCGATGAGAGAGAAACATCGACCAGCTGCCTCCTGCACATCTCCCACTGGGGATGTGCCCGCAACCCAGGTACATGCCCTTGACCGGAATCAAACCTGGGACCCTTCAGTCCGCAGGCCGACGCTCTATCCACTGAGCCAAACCGGTTTCGGCAGGAAATGTGTCTTAATATCATACTTTACGTTTTAAGGAAAGTTCACTCAAACATTTTAAAACTTTTCTAACATTCTTTAAGCATTTTAAACATTTCTATATTTTACTACATCAGGCGTCCACGCCACCGCCACCCAGGATCAGCCCACCCGCTCCGTGAGCTAAGCAGCTCCGCACAATTTAGCTCATGTAATTGGCACTGCCCTGTGAGGTGGGCACCCATCTGAGGTCAACCCGCTGCGGGGTAAGCCCAGCTCAGTGAACCAACAGTTTAAGACCCAGGGCGGTCCCTTCTGCCTGTACCTCCTCTTTCCTCCTCCACATGGTGCGGACGGGGACCTGAGCTCATTCCTCTGCTGCAAGTGCCCAGAACAGCGCCTGGCACAGAGCAGGGGCAGCTGGAGAAACTGAGGTTCAGAGAGGCCGAGGACGCCCAGTCACCCAGCTGGTGCCCCACCCAGAAAGGCCAGCCAGGCCTTGGTCCCTGCCCCCTGCCCCCTGCCCCCCCTCGCCTTCCCTTCACAGCCTGGGTGGGAGTGTTGAGATAACCCACCGCTCCCCGTTTCCTCCTGGCCAGGAAGGAGCCAGGCAGAGGAAGTATTAAGAGGAGTAATATAAACACTCCCCCCTGTGGGCGGCTGGGTCCAGAAGGGGCGAGCCACCACCCAGAACAGACCAGCCAGCGGAGCAGCACCAGTGCACCCGACGGGCGGCCGGCGGGCGGCAACCCAGGGAGGAGATGGGCCTGGCCATGGAGCACGGAGGGTCCTATGCTCGGGCGGGGGGCAGCTCTCGGGGCTGCTGGTATTACCTGCGCTACTTCTTCCTCTTCGTCTCGCTCATCCAGTTCCTCATCATCCTGGGCCTGGTCCTCTTCATGGTCTACGGCAACGTGCACGAGAGCACCGAGTCCAACCTGCAGGCCACCAAGCTCCGGGCTGAGAGCCTGCACAACCAGCTCCAGGTGCTCGCTGCCAGCCACGCCAACCTGACCAAGGAGCTCAACCTCACCATCCGCGCCAAGGATAGCATCATGCAGATGATGCTGGTTGCCCGCCGAGACCTGGACCGGATCAATGCCAGCTTCCGCCAGTGCCTGGCCGACCGGGTAAGGCCAAGGGCCTGACACTGGCCCTGGTGACCCCAGAAAGTCACCTCTCTGAGCTTCTGTTTCCCCATCCACGGAATGGGAGTCACAGACCTTACTTTTTAAATTTAATCCTCACCTGAGGATTTTGTTTCCCTTGCTTTCAGAGAGAGTAGAAGGGAGGGAGGGAGGGAGGGAGGGAGGGAGGGAGGGAGGGAGGGAGGGAGAGAAAGGCATCCTGACTGAGGGCAGGGAGTGAACGCAGCCCAGGTATGTGCACTTAACTGGGAATCGAACCCGAGACCCTTTGGTGTGTGGGCCGATGCTCTAACCACTGAGAACACTGGCCAGCGCCAGACCCTTCGTTTTGCATGAGGAGCCCTAACAGATCAGCAATGCATATTTTGTTTGTGTAAGTATATCCCGTGCAATATTTTGGATATACTTATGCTAACAGAAAGGATTCATTGTCTCTCAGGAATTCAAGTGTAACCGAGCATCAGCCCTGGGCCGGTGAATTAATGCGCATAAGAGGCTCAGAATGTGCCAGCTGCAAACACACTGCAAACAAGAACTGGCTGGATAGAAACTCAGAGCTTGTGTCTCTTTCTTAGCAGTCAGTAGGGACGGCTGATTTTTGCCTTATGCTGGCGTCCGCTTGAGAAATAGTATCTCATTACGGAAGCCCAAGAGCTAGGGAGGAACCCTCAACCCTCTTGCAGATGGGGAAATGGAGGCTTGAGAAGGAGGTGGTTTTCCCAGGGGGCCAGAAGCAGGGGGGACACGTGGGGGTCTCATGGAGACTGTTACCCCTCGCACTCATGCCAAACTCATCGGGCCACCCCTGTGTTCCCTCACGCACACACTTACACGCCGCACACGCTCTTTGTCAGTAGCAAAGTAAAGATATAAAAGGAAGGGAAGGGTCTTAGTGCCAAGACCCTGAGGGGGAGGGGCCTGGGATTGGGGGGTTCCTGGGTGGGGACAGCCTTGATGTTTCCCACCAGAGGGGCTCTGGCCGGCTGGGGTGGGAGGTGGGGAGGACCAGCCTCAGATCACCCACCCTCCTCACGGGACAGGAAGGCCCCTCAGATCCGCTCCAGAAAGGGCCCCGTCTTTGCTGCTCAGACCCAGGGCAGGGCGTGTCTCCTTTCGACTCCCCAATGGGGGCTGGTCCCCCTCATGCTCCAGGGCAGGGAGGGACTCCCCTCAGGCCCCCGGGGAAGTCTGGTCTCCATCTGACCTTTGGAATGGGGGCAGGTCCCTCCTCAATCCCCAGAGCAGGGCGGTTCCCCTTCGGACCCCAGCACCCAGCACGGGATGCACCCTCCTCAGACTCTCAGGGCAGAGCCGTGAATCCCCGCCAGCCCGTCCCCAGGACACACAGCACCATCCCAGCAGGAGCCACTAAGAAGGAATCGGGGTCGGGGTCGTAAAGTGTTAGGCTCTCACGCTCACCCCCCGGGTCCTGACTCCCTGCTGTAGATGATTAGAAATCCGAGAATCTAGATCTTCACAACTTTAAAATTGGAAAATCATGCTTTTCCCCCTTTTGAGTTGACAAATTCCTCTAGGCTTGAACCTCTCAGGGTTTTCTCTTAAGGGGATCCTGTCCCACGCCCCCACCCCAGGAGGGGGTGCTGATGGTTGTGGGGGAGCCCCTGGGGGCCGCCTTTGCCCTGCCCCCCAGCTGTGATCAGAGAACCAGGCGCCTTTGCCGCCCCAGCCAGTGATAGGGAGAAGCAGGGGTGGAGCCAGCAATGGGAGCTGGGCAGGGACGGAGCCGGCAGTCCGGGGAGCTAGGGATCCCTTGCCCAGGCCTAAAGCCTTGGCCAAACACTTTAGGCCTGGGCAGGGGTGGAGCCTGCAATCGTGGGGAGCTGGGGGTCCCCTACACAGACCTAATGCCTTGGTCAGAGGCGTTAGGCCTGGGCAGGGGCGGAACCAGCCATCGCAGGGAGCAGGGGCGGAATCAGCGATCCTGGGCAGCTGGGGGTCCCCTGCCCAGGTCTAATGCCTTGGCCAGAGGCGTTAGGTCTAGGCAGGGGCGGAGCCTGTAACCACGGGGAGCTGGGGGTCCCCTGCCCAGGCCTAAGGCCTCAGCCAGAGGCATTAGGCATGGGCAGGGGCAGAGTCAGCAATCGTGAGCAGCTGGGGGTCCCCTGCCCAGGCCTAACGCCTTGGCCAGAGGCATTAGGTCTAGGCAGGGGCAGAGCGGGAGATCGCGGGGAGCTGGGGGTCTCCTGCCCAGGACTAATGCCTCCACCAGAGGCCTTAGGTCTTGGCAGGGGCGGTGCCAGAGATCGTGGGTAGCAGGGGCAGAGCCGGCAATGGTGGGAGCTAGGGGTCCCCTGCCCAGGCCTGACACCTCTGCCGGAGGCCTCAGGCCTGGGCAAGGGGCCAATCTGGTGATCGGCGATCGGAGGGTGATGAGGGTCAACTCCTCTGGCCGAGGCATCAGGCCTGGGTGGGAGCAGAGCCAGCAATCGGAGGGGGCTGGAGGTCCCCTGTCCAGGCCTGATGCCTGGGCCAGAGGCGTCAGGCTTGGGCGGGGGGGTGGAGCAAGCGATCAGAGGGAGATGGGGGTCCCCTGCCCAGGCATGATTCCTGGGCCAGAGGCATCAGGCCTGGGCGGGGGTCAGAGCCAGTGATCGGGGGAAATGAGGGTCCCCTGCCCAGGCATGACACCTCTGGCGGAAGCATCAGGCCTGGGCAAGGGGCCGATCCTGCGATTGGAGGGTGATGGGGGTCAATGCCTGAGGGCTCCCAGTATGTGAGAGGGGGCAGGCTGGGCTGAGGGACACTCTCCCCCCCCCCCACCCAGTGCACGAATTTCGTGCACCGGGCC